AGTTACTGGAAAAGGCCTCTGCGCCGCGGAGGGGCGTCTCCTCACGGCCCCCCCCAGCTCCACGCCGGTGAGGGAGACCTGTGAGAGCAAGCAGTCAAGGGCGGCAGGATTGTAAGGGCTGGGAGTGCCCTTCCCAGCAGCACCGCACCCGCTCAGGTGATTTTTATTCACGTATATAAGCTCACCCCATTCCTCTGCAGGAGGCTGCATGCGCAGGGGAGGCCCCCCCCAACAAATTCATAGCCAAGCACTTGTTCTCTCCAGTGCTCACACATTTATTCATATTTCACCTCCCACTGCTCTGTACAATATGTCACAGAGGCGCAGTATGTACCTTGCGGTATTTATTACAAAGAGACATCATACTGTCACCATGGAATGTAAGCTAATAGGAGAAAATGAGGTTTTTACAAATTGGCATTATCAACACATTTATTTTTGTGACTGCTGTTGGAGATACAAGGGGTTCGAGTGTAAAACAGCATTGGCAATTCACAGAGAAGGGTTTTAACACCTCGTCGAGGATGATGGTGGCTTTTCAGATTTAAATGTTTTAAATTTCTATAGGGAATGATACTGCAGAAATCAGAGCTCAATCATACGCTTTAATTAAAAGCATTAGAACACCAAATCAAGGTTTAGTTTTCACAATATGTATTTTAAATGTTACATTTAAATGTTATTCAGAAGAACACTGTAAATAAAGTTACAAAATATAGTAATCCAAGAGTCTGAAAATCTATAGTAAAAATAGGGAGCCTGTGTCTTCATTAAAAATGAATAAATAGAACATTTAAATAGCTGCAACATACCAAATACTTATCTCATGCCTTAAATAAAAAAAATAGATGTTTATATCTCTCTCAATATTTTAGAAGTCATTTAGTGCTACTGGAAGCTTCTAAATTACAAAGCTGGAGGCTGACAAATACACAGGGTAGAAAATGACAGCAAAGCATTCACGACACTACCTTACAGACGTGGCCTCCGTTCTGCCTGAGGCCGTACAGAAACTAGTTCAGACTTTGTCATTTTGGGCAACGGCAGGAAAAAGAAGTCACCAATTTTAGGACTGAGTTGACAGTCGAGGGGAAGATAAAGGGACTGTACTATATCCCCTAAAAACTGGGATATGATAGCGTCAATCAGAAAGAACCAGACCCTGATACCCACTCCCCCAGCGTGCAATCATTTAGGCTGCCAGCTTCAAGACAGTGTACCATACACAAAATAGATATAGGGCAATTCTCTAATACCACGTATTATTTTTTTCCTCAAGAACCCCTCGATATGAGGTTTGTAGCTACAGTACACAGGCCGCCACCAGGACAGAGATTTCAGTCATCTTTCCATTACTCCTTGGGCTTCATCACGTGCTCCCGAAACATTGAATACAGCACACCTACAAGACGGAAATACAAGCACAATTAGAAAGCTGGGTTAAATAGGAAATAATGGGTTTCAAAATCTGAACAATAAGTGTATTCTGAGCAACAGAAATAACGTTTCCCTTCCCTCTTCTGCTGTCTATTTTTTTTTTTAATAGCAGTGATGAACACTACAAAATTCTTCATATACAGAGAAAGTGGATAGGAAAATATACTGTATATGAAAATGCAGATCCCCAGCCAATTCTAGTTGGCTTTGCAGCCAAAGTCAAGCTTTTCTGTTGTACCTTCCGGGAATACAGTATAGACAGTGTTTCGTGGGATATACATTTACCCACGTACACAGCTGCAATGCTTAGGTGAGACCTGGGATGTACAAACCAGTACATTCAGGGACACAATTCCAGTCCTGAAAATAATACCACAGGCTATGCAAGCTGACTCTCCAATGCATTGAATTCAGAAACAGCAACGTATTTACAAGGGAAAATATTAACATCAGATAGTCTTTTTTTTTAGTTTGCCTCTAATTTCAACACCTGCAGAACCCCACGTATTTCCCACATCTAAAAGTAGTCAAAACCTCTACCCTCGAAGGTAGTGTGGTTTAATATTGAATATGTGTACTTAAACGCCATGTTACTCTAGAAAGCCTGAGCAAATGCCAGTAACGAGCATAAACATCCTGAAATACAATGGCCTAGAGACTTCCACCCCGAGGATATTTCATGCACCCTGTATTACCCACTAGGAGAAGAGATGCGAGAGGTTCTCCGTGGTTTGCCAGTGCCGAGGACAGCCTCCTGCTCGGTACGTACCACACGTTATCGCTCCCACGACGAAGCCCTGGGCTGCTACGCGCATGTGAATCAGGTGAAGCGACATTTTCACGTCACCTCTGTGCTTCAGTCTGTACAGTCCGTAGCCAACCACCATGGCGAAGCCAGCCATCCCTACAAGGCAAGGAAAGCACCCTTGGGAGTTGAGCTCCAAGTCATCGAGATGTGTGAAGTGACCCACCTAAACAAGGTATCTCGGGAATAATCACGTTTTGATCTAACCACTCTGGTTTTGTGTAGATGGCAAGTCCTGGCCTGTCTACTGTTTTCACTCGAGTGCCATCTCATTCAATGCACAAGTCGGTGCAGAGAACAGCGAGAGATTTCCACTAGTGTTAAAATGCAACAGCAGCAACGCAAGGGTCTAGAGCGCAAGTCCTACGAGGAGCGGCTGAGGGAACTGGGGTTGTT